CTGGACTAATGTCATGGTCTTCTTGCGTTGTATTTTTTTGATTGCTTGAACATATTAAAGCCATACAACTTTAAGTGAGAGTAATTGCTGTAAATGGTGTTATCTTCTAACTAGTGGCTAAGTGCTGGAAACCGAATAAACCTTGTTCCTTTATCTGATTTACGGGGTTGCTGACAGTGCTGTAGTTATTCCTGCTAGTTTGATGGGCTCTTGAACTGGCTAAAGGCTTTCATTTCAGTGTTTGGTTTTACTTCAAATTATTTGTAAATATTTTTTTTTCCAAAAACATAGGTTAACTTATAGGTTTAAAAAGTTTATAATCATCTTATTTAGTTGGTCTTTCCAACATTACTTAGGTTGCTGGGCTAAGTTGGTCTTGCTTTAATTTTGTATAAATTTTGTTTGTTTCTAGAGTACCTTTGAATCCAGCTTTATATTCTAAGTTTAGATTGCTTTGCCCAGAGTTGTTATGATACTTCCTAGTCCATTTCTCTGCAGAAAAATTATTGGTCCAATTATAGTTCATAAGAAAATGATGGCACTCTCATGACACTGTTATGTTTGTCTTACAAATGGTGCCTTTCTGCATTCTTCTCTGATTTTACTAAATGCTACTATATTACCGGGTCATTGGGGTATAGTCTAGAAGCTCTGCGCCTGTGCTGATGCTCAATTGGAGTCATGTCTCATACAACTTATAGACTTGCTATTTTTTGGACTTAATTTTGAAGATCTTATTAGGAATCAATGCCTACTGTTAAATTTTCGGAATGACATTAGTGAATTTGTTACTTTGGCAGTGCATCTGTTAAAATGGTTAAGCCTAAAGATTTTTCTTGGTTAATTATTTTAGTTTCCTTTGATGATCTTATTCTTTTTATCATACAGTATTGTGAAGGGGGCTCGATCAGATGTGTCAAATGTTGTCAATGCTGATGAATTTGAATACAAGGATCCTGTCGATGGCTCTGTTTCAAAGCACCAGGGTATCCGGTTTTTGTTTGAGGATGGATCACGATTGGTAAGTCATTATCCTCCTGTTTTTACTAACAAAAATTTATCTGAGCGAACCGTGTCATTCTCTAGTGCAGTGAAAAATATTTCTAGAGTTTATATGAAGTAACTTTAATTGAAACATTATTTATTTGATTTTACTCCCTGTCCATAGGTTTTCCGTCTCTCTGGAACTGGCTCAGAAGGTGCAACTATCCGTCTTTACATTGAGCAATATGAAAAGGATCCATCAAAAACTGGAAGAGATTCCCAAGAAGCACTTGCTCCTCTTGTGAGCATCCTTAAACTTCTGTCTAAATCGGTCATAGTTCCACTTTAGATAACTTGTATGTATATATGATATATTTAGACTGACTCTTGCTTTTGATATCAGGTGGAGGTTGCTCTAAAACTTTCTAAGATGCAGGAGTTCACTGGCCGATCTGCACCCACCGTTATCACATAGACTCCTACTGCTACAAGTTAAGGATTGTCTGATAAGACAAAGTACTACTTTGAGGAAAATAAACATAAATACACTGTTCAAATCCTGGCTAGATAACCTACATATATATATATATATATTTGTCATTGTGCATCCGTACCATGAGTATCATAAATGACAGATAATACTCATCAAAATTTTTGACAGGGTTCATAAAATAATTTGAATGTTCTAGCATTACTTGGCATCGATGCCTTCCTGATACTCGTATCCCGTCTCCAATTTTCTTTTTGGTTGAATTGTCTCCAAAATTTCGTTTCTATATGTTTGGCGGTTCAAGATCGTACATGTAAATTAGAAGTGTAATCAAGCCTGGCTAATAAAGTTTTAGGTACAAGCTCGGCTAGAGTAAAATACGTGAAGTACGAGCTTGCTTGAGCTTTGCTTCAGCTTTACTTGCTTGAACCCGATCTAAAAACATAATCGAGCTGTTTGAGCTTGCGTTGATTTGATTCAAATGTCATTAACTTAATTAAGGATCCTTTGAGACTCAAACTGGATTATACTAAATAATTCACCATTCATTTCAGATTGAATGTTCAATTTTTATTTGGCATGAAGATTAAGAAAACCGTGTTGACTTTAGTGGTTTTATAATTTTAAATAAAAAATTACAAAATTGATTTTTATAGCTTTTAATGCCAAAAAATAATTATTAATATGAAATATATAAAAAGTAAAAGTTGTAGGTGTTGGAAAAAATAATATAGTATTAGAATAACTCAGAAAAGAAATTAAGGTGTACATTTATTTTCGATAGGAAAGAGTACTTAAAAATACTAAAAAATTTGAAATCTTGATAAAGCTTGAGAGCTATTTAAATCGATAATTACAAAATTCAAAATCTTTATAAAGCTTGAAAATTACATAAATCGAGTATTACAAAACTGGAAAATAGATTGATTTGTCATCGAAATGGTATAAGTTGGAGTTTCAGCAATTGACAGTATCTTAACTCATTTACATCTTAATCTAAGTCAGATTTAGTAAGTTGTTTATCCAAGCTCGCAATAACTAATTTATAAATATTTATAAAATACTATATTATTATTATTATTATTATTATTATTGTCCCTATCTATTTGCAAATTTAATACAATCCTTCGATAAGTCTCAAGTCTCATCCTAATGCAGAGATTACAACACTTAAATTAGTCAACATTTGACAAGTCTATAATCTCATCTTGATACGGAAGTCATAAATAATAAATTTGTAAGTATTTATTTGGAACATTAGATTATCAAATAATCGAGCCTTTTTTTAATTAATTAATCAACATACGACATGGCAGGCTTCTAATTGACGTGTTTATCATGAAATAATAAAAGTAGAGTTCAAACCATAAAATATAAATTATCAATAATTATATAATTTGTTAATAAAATATATTATATTTTTTATTTTAATGATCAGGATTTAAATCAAAGACTTATGTTTCTTTGAATGGGGCTTAAGATTGTGAATAAGTTATAAATATAAGAGGATTAAGAGATAAGGATAAGAAAAGTTAAGGCAGCAAATGTTTGTGGAGTGGGCAACTCTGCTTTCCAAGTGCTGTATAAAACCTAATCAATTCAACTAGTTATTTTGATTCTTAAAACGACGTATCAAACCTTCAATTGTTGATGATGAGACTATCTGCCTAATGGATACCCTTTTTTGTCAAAAAGGAGAAAAAGTGTAAAAAGCAAAAGGATTATTGACGAATGACCAACAAGACTTAAGTTAAGCATGTTCATGAAAGCTATATCTAATTTGTAATTTAATTTTGAGACTGATTCTCAAAACATTATTATATGGACTGTATGCACGACAACATGATTGACATAATCTATGTATTGTGAGGCTTCATTATCTACAGTTCTTTATTTAATTTCAAACTCCTTATTATATTACTGTGTTTATATTAATGTTTTCATTCTTGAAAAAAAAAATAAAGAATTTAAAAATCCATTAAACAAATAAGCTTACCTCCTTTGATCTGTCATTAGCTTCATACACACACATATATATAAAAGAAGGATAAATTTATATAATGTAAAATTTTTTAGTTTTATATATTTTTTAATCATTGATTTCAATAGATCTAAAATATGAGATTAATTTTTTTTTTTACTTGTCTCTCTCATATTTTATATCTATCTATTAAAAATTAAAAGTTAGAAAAATATACAAAATTAAAAATTTTTTATATTGTGTAAGTTGATCTCTCCTCATATTATATATATAGGAGAGATCAACTTATATAATGTAAAACTTTTTTAATTTTATATATTTTTTAACTATTGATTTCAATAAAAGATCAAATTAATTTTATTTTATTTTTCTCATATTTTGGATCTATTAAATTTAATAATTAAAAAAATGTGTAAAATTAAAAAAATTTTATATCATGTAAGTTGATCCCTACTCATTTTAGTTTTATATCATGTAAGTTGATTTTTACTCGTAGGGATCAACTTACATGATGTAAAACATTTTTAGTTTTACATATTTTTTAATTATTAATTTTAATAGATTCAAAAAATAATTTTTTTTATTTTTACTTATCTTTCTCATTTCTTATATTTATTAAAATCAAAGATTAAAAAAATGTATAATTTTTTTTAATTTTATATTATATAAATCGATCCCTTGTATCATTTATGTTATTGGATTCGGGTTGTCGGACAATGACATAAGTATACGCTCATATAATTTAGAGAGTAGAAATTTCATACCTACATCCATAAAATTCGTGTTTACATTAAAAAAATAACGAGTCAATGCAGTATAGACCATCACGTTGAGGACTTTCTTCTCAGGGAACTTTTTCTTGGGAAAATCTGAAAAAGGATGACTCGTGATTATGGGATAATCCATATATGACTGAAATTGTGGTCACGAGTGATTAAAAAAAAAAGTCATTAGAAAGCAAGCCAATACACGTGAACAACAAAAATAGTGAAAGGGAGCAGCTAGCTGCAACATGTTTCAATATCATCTAACGCAATTGACTTCTACCTTAATTGTATTTCTAATTTGTACGCAATATTCATCAAAAAAGCCAATCACTTGATTAAAATACAAAAGATGAAGTTGCTATACTAGCCATGGTATTTATTATTTCATTTCTTCATAAACACTAGTAGTAATAGTACAACATGTTTCATGAAATTCAGCATTAATTAATTCCAATTCTACAACTTTTATTTTTCTTCACTTTGATAAATTCATGTAGCATATCTTACTTTTTTTTTTTTCAAAAAAAAAAAGTAGATAAATTGTTTTAACTAATCATAGATCAAAATAAAATGTACTGTACTTGATAGAATAAGATAATTCGACCAAATATTTTATTTTTATCTTAGTTGATCCCGATTCAATATTATAAGTATAATGATTTTTCACTAATAATTGAGTTATTTTGTCTGTGACTACTGTATATTTAATTTCATTCATAAATTTATTTATTTTCAATAAGAAAAAGTATCAATAAAAATGCTAATTCTTTCTGTTCATATGTTATGATAACGTGAATATACAGCAGCAATTCGTTATGAACAGAGGATGAGATTCCATTGATACAAAGCCACTTCCATTTTAATATAAAAGTCAAGTAATTAACTAACACAAACTATACGACAATTTCTTCAACATTTGGGTCACTTTCCTATTCATATTTTCAAAATGCTGGAATCAACCTCAACCCCATCAAAAATATATCATAGTCCAGCATCAAATGGTACGCCGGTGCCTGGAATCCAAGCATCTCCGGCCAGAAAATTCCCAACAGTGAATTTTCCGGCTTCGGCGGCTGTTATGACATGATATCCACCCCATTTCACCCTTCCACTAGTACTTGCACCGGCACCGGTGTTCATATACTCAGCATAGTAAAGAGTACTTAAAGCAAAACCTCCACTCCATGGTAACCAACCTTCCGCATCTATCAATCCATCCAAAACACACTTCATGAACACAGTTCTTGAATATTTCTGCCATGGCCTCCCCAAATAACTCTTGAACGAACCTTGAACAGCCCTCATATCTGACGACGCCATGACGCGTGAGTTGTGGATGATTGTGCCCGTATTCTCATTGGGATCGCTTCTTGCTTGTGCTGTCACGGTGTTCTTTTGACCGCTCATTGGTCTACGGATGTAGATGTTACAGTTTTGAAAAACAGCAACAGCGTCACCAAATATGAAGTCTATGGTTCCATATATGTCACAGTCACGATAGAATTGGCGTTGAGAGTAGACATATAAGGTATCCTGGTAACCTTTGAAGCTGCAGCGGTAGAAGACTGAGAAATCGGAGCCGGACCGGACGGCTACTGCTTGGTGTTTTTGGGGTCCGGCCGTGTTTTCAAAGGTCATGTCTCGAGCTATGAAGCCTTCACCCGCAACACCTGAGAGAAGAAACAAAATTCAGTGAGTAAACCAAATGACATGGATTATCGATTAATTATGTGTGGAAAAGAACAGATGTTTGTCAAAAAGAAAGAAAAAGACGTTTATTTACCTTTTACTATTATTTTTACATATGTTGTATGGTACTGTGGGGGGTTGTTGGTGAAATAGGAGACATGCATAAGAATTAATATGGAATATATTGCAAAAAATTTGACTTGAGATAAATTTGCATGAGTGTGTTTTAATTTGTTATTTAAAATTTTAACATTGTTCCTTAATTCTCTTTCTCTCTTCTCTTTGTCATTTTATTTAAGTTAGGATAATAAACACGATAATGATAATTATTGTCTTGTAAAATTTGCTCTGTTTTTAATAAACATGTTTATTTGTTTTGACAAACATGTGTCTTTGTCATTTTGCCAAGCAGGATGTATCCCATCAAAACCAAGATTCTTGTAAGTTTTTATTTAGCAGTATTTTTTTTTTTTAATTTCATAGATAAATATATAAATAAAAGTTAATTGTAAAACAAATGTACACAATAAAATTTAAATATGCATGTTTCATTAAAGAGCTTACCAAAAGTTGCTGAACGAAAAGTTGTAGTAGTTTGAGCATTCTCGTTACCAGTAATAACAGTGGCTTCAATTCCATCCCCAATTAACATTATATTTTTAGCTGACCTCTTAATAACCACATTTTCCCTGTAAACTCCAGCTTTTACGTATATAACAGTTCTTTTGCCCCCACCAGCTGCTGCCACTGCCTCGGATATGGTCTTAAAGTTACCAGAACCGTCTTGAGCCACCACAATATCAGCTTTTGGTGCTGCACCGGTTTTTTGCAAGAGCTTTCGATCAGCAGCCGAAAGCCAAGATGGAAAGCCATGGGCAAGCAGGCGGCGATTGCCAACTTGTTTAGCAAAGTTACTATGGGTAGAAGAGGATGTAACAGTGGCCTTATTTATGGCCAGGGAATTGCTAATCAACTTTGAAAAGTTGCCTAACATGGATGGTAAGGTTTGTAAATGAGTGGCCAAGTTGAAGTCAATGAAGCCGTTTTGGCAGGTTTGTTGGTTGGCAATTGCAGCACTTAACCAGGTTTGAGCATCTATTGGATTGTTAGTGCTCATTGATTTATTAAGATGCTTAACGGTGTCTTCATAGAGTTCCAAGCAATCATTCCAAGCCAACTTGGCTCGTCCATCGAATGAACTCAAGTCCATCTCTGAGACAAGCTGGTGAGCTCGAACTGCTTGGTTCAGGGTCACCTGAATGGCAAGGTCACGGAAAGAGAATTTGGTTTGATCAAGGCTTGCTGCAACATTAATACTATTTCCCATGAAATAGTTGCAGACTTCAGGGTACGGGGTTTGGCTACATGATGTTATGGTAGCACTACTAGCACCATTCACAAAGTTCCCTAGTGGAAAGATGAAGAAATGGGCTAGGAGAAATGCTCGGAGGACAAGCTTATCCATGAATATTACTCAAGTTTTGCCTAGAGAGGAGCTATATAGAAATTTCTAAAGTTTTCCAAGTTTGAATTGATCAGAAGAGAGGGAGTGCAGAGGGGTTTATATAGGGCTAGAAAGGGCTTAATTTGGTAGGACAAAATATGAAATTGTGAATGGGGTTTAGGGTTTGTTCAAAATCAAAATGGGAATTGGGGCCGTGCATGATGTTTACTTGAAAACAGAATCTATGCGACTTGCTTTGTGGTTCAGAATTTATGGTTGTTTTTCAATGCCACCTAAGGGTTTTCATTTCAGTAAGACTAAATTAGGCCATTTGGTTCTGCCATTTTTATCATTTTCATTTTTTAAATATTATATACATTTTTAAAGATTTATATTCGATACACTATCAATTTATAGATTTTATACATTATCAGTGAATAAGATGATGACATTTTATTAATGAAATAAATCAGATGATATCATTTTATTAATAGTAAGTTTTTTAAAAAATATTAATTTTTGTATATTTATTTTAAAAGCTGATATTTACTCATTAATGAAATAGCATGTACATTCATTGTATACGTTCACATAACTTTTATATGAGATGAATGCATATACCATTGTTATTTTTATTTTCATAATTTATTTTCTTCTTGTTTTATTTTATTACTTTACTAAAGTAATGGAGATAATAACAAATAATAAGATGGTGAAAACATTGAGTCTTAAGTCATTAGTCTTTGCATCCCTATTAACTTTAGTAATTGGTCAGCTATAAGGGACAAATGGACGAATTTTCCAAGCAATTTAATTAGACCACAACCTTTTCTTACATTATTATGTGTTCCTTTCGTTTTTTTTTTGTTTTTTTCCTTTTACAACATGTCAAAGCTTCTTTCAGGGTTTTCTTGGAAGAATTAAATTATTTTAATTGGACCATAACTTTTTCTTACATTATTGTATAAAAGTTCCTTATAGTCATAATCAAATGTGTCTTTGATAATTTTTTCTCGAGAGGAGAAGTCTTTCTTATTACTTAAGAAAATTCTAGATATATATTGGATAATTGTATTATATTATTTATAGAAAATTATCATATTTATTGACAGTGAAATTTTTAAATTTTATTGTCAGAATTAATAAAATGATATATATCTCTAACTAAGATCTAATAAAAAATAAACAATAACTAAAAAAATTAAATATGTGATAATCTCTTAATCCCACTTATACAATTAAAAAAATTGTCATGTTACTAACTATATAAAGCAAACTTAATTTTTTTTAAACATCAAATCATTAATTCGTAATTTGGAAGCTTTGGTCAACAAATAAGGACACATATTCACTTATTGACTCCATTGCCCCCTTGAGGCACTTAAAACGTAAATAAGTTTTTATATGTGATGAAGAATCAATTTATACAATATAAAAATTTTTTAGTTTTACATATTTTTTAATCATTGATTTCAATAAATTTAATGGATGAGATTAAATATTTTTTATTTTTAATTGTCTTTTTTATTTTTAGATTTATTAAAATTACAAGTTAAAAAATATAAAATTAAAAAATTTTACACTGTATAAGTTAATCTCTCCTCTATTTATAATTGGCTTATCTTTTAGCTTTATCATCTTATTATAAGAAAATCCAATAATAATAATATTTGGTAGCCAATATAATTTCAAACATCATTTTATTTGTGTCTGAAAACCTTTTAAGCCGTAATATTTCTTCAATTTTATTAGAAGCAGATCAAAAGATACATATGGACCAAAATTTTTTTCAATGGCAACAACCATATAAATTATAACCTGAACGAAACGAAATTTGAGAGGTTCCGAATCTCTTAATATTTAGGCCTAAATCACTTATCACTATCGGCATTAATTGTCATTAGATATAGAAGTTTCGATATTAAAAAATTAGTCCAAAACCACCACATATAGATTACCAAACTCATACGAAAAAACTCGTGAAAATTTGGGTTCCTGATTGGGAAATTTCAGATTTTCTTCTCATCTCATGGTTTGGGTGAAATAGATTTGATTTAGAAGTGGTTGTTGGGAGGCCTTTTTATTGTCAAAACTTATCTCAATGCCACTCGGCTTTTTTTTGGGTTACTGTTTTATATCAATACACTCGTCATGCCTTCAACCGCATATATACTATCTTCGTGTATCTTTGAATGCTTCTAACTTTCATTGTCCTCTCTTTTTTATTGTTTGTTTTGTTCAAATCTTTTGGTTTATACTTGAAAGAATCAGTTCCCATTACGTAATTATTATTTTTTTTTACGAAAAGATCGTAATATAAAAATAAAAAATTTACAAATGTTAAAGATTTAGGTTTTTTCATGATTAACTAATGATTACATTAATTCAGCATGTCGGCCACTGCCTCCATCCTAGAAAAGAAAAGTCATCTACCTACTAATTAATTCCTTGTTTTAGAGCTAGCTGCAATATATACTGTTGTCTGCCTTTAATTTGGTTAACTAATTAATTACAAATTCCTTGGTAAATATTGCTATATATAATTGATTTAATTTGGTTTCATTTATAAGTTAAAACATTTGTAACAACTAACAAATCCTTAATTGTTGTTCTAATAAATGAGACATTAGCCTAATATATTAGCTATAAAATTAACAAATTAGAATTGATTTATTCAAAAATAGTAAAATTCTTATGCGACCGTATCTGTTCTTTATAATTAATCTTATAAAATTGTTATAATTACTATTATTGTATGAGTCATTAATGTCTATGCATTGCGTTATATAGATTAGATGCAAGACGTAACAACTAATTTAATATTTCTGACGTGGAACAAACAAAACAATGACATAATTGTTATTGGTTTTGAGTAAAAATTTTTTTTGTTCAAAATAAATTGCTTGAAATTATAAAATAATGAACTTCCCCTTTATCACCATCAATTGGGTTTTTATTTTTCTGTTTTTTAATGGAAGGCTGTGTTTGTTATGACAGGCAATAGAAGAGACAATTAGATTAATTTTTTCTACGGATTGCTTTTTCTTTTCTTTTTTTTTTTTTCGCCAAGGGAAAAGATAATGGATGGGGTTATCAAGTGCTGATAAGACGATATTAGACGTTGCTAACATTATAATCCACAAATATAAAGCTTTGTTCGAAGGACGTCCCAACCTACAAATAGACCGGCGCAACCACATTGTCCACCAAAATTATAAAATTAAATTGAATTATTTAAACAATTTAATTAATTAGTTTACATCCTTCTGTCTATTTGATTTTAATTCCTTCTTTGTCTTTGTTGAATAAAGTAAAATAATGGTTAAATCAATCTAAAAAGAGCACAGTAAATCAGATAAGTACAATTTTGTTTTGGGGACGAAAAACCAATCGATGGAATGATGTAATTAATGAAAAGATATTTGAAACGTAATTAAATTAGCCCAACTTGCCCGTCAATTTCAATTAATTAAGCTCGTGTTCTTTCATTTTAATCATCAAATAATTCATCAACTTTCATTAAAAAAAATCATCAACTTGAAATTCTGCCCACTTTCATGTATATTGTGGAAAATTAGTAATAATTTAATTTGCTTGAAAGCGTCATTTTAACGTCAAGAATTTGAGATTAATAACCAAAGCGGAGATGTTTTTAGTTTAAATATTGAAAATGGTTACAAGTTAGTTTAGTACTGTTTTGGGTCAACTAATGTTGCAAGGCAATTCAAGTGGGCGTTTTTTATTTTCTATAGGTCCACGGGAACCTTGGGTTGAAATACTCAAGTGATGGTTATAATATTAGTTATCAAAATTATATATATATATATATTTATGAAAATCTAACGTAACTTTTTGTTTTTGTTTAAGGAGAGAGAAACTTGAACCAAATTATTTAAGTAGGAATCAATGTAGTACTTACTGTTAAATCAAATGTTCAAATAAAGCTATTGAGTTGTGTGTGTCTTAAGCTAACGGTGGTTTCTTCCTTTTATAGGGCTTTTCCAACGGCCGCTTCCATGATCTTTGCAACTTCTGCCACTGACGAAGGCCGAAGTAATGACTAGTGGAGGTCTTTTACACATAACACGCTGACCATCTCATCTTCTCCCTTGATATTTTGCTAGATATTAGGAGTTTGATCACCATTGGCTTGATTGATCGCTTTTCTTGGCTGACTTGGATTTAATCCCCTTTGAATCATCTTTATAGATTTTTAGTAACTGATTTGGATAAAATTTGTAACATGTCTTCCATTAATTGGCCTTAAGATCTTTGAGTTGGCCAAAAATATCCACCTACTTAATTATCCATCAAATAAAAATAGCAATTGGCCGACTTTGATCGAAATAGGATATTAACCATTAGTGTTTTTTTTTTTTTTTTTGAGTAATATAGTTAGTAGAATTCTTAATTTAATATTTACGTACAGAATGAACACATCTGTACATAAAAGTTTAGGTAGAAAGAAAATAATACCATAATTACTCAACTAAGAAGAGCTTCAATGACTTTGTCTTTCGCATGTAGGAAATATAGCTCACAGAATATAATTCAAAAATATTATTGAAAGCTACTCATTATTCGTCGCAGTTGCGTCCAAGCAGACCGTACGCCCAAATGGACTTGTTATAATCTTTCTCCATAATTATAACAAAACGACGGGAAATAAGCTTTCAGCAAATTGACTCTTAAGCTTTCAAAACCTTATTGTCCTTTTTCTCTTTGTACTTAATCATCCTTAGCCAAAATAGTTTCTGCATGAAAACGACATTATTAATGTCTCACTGTTTTATCTTTTAAGGGGTTTATAGTTTGATGATGTTTGCAATTCAATTCTTTTAAGCAACAATTTGGCTCAAAAAGCTTGATTGTATTCCTTATGATTAAGTTATAATTCGAGACCTTTCGATTCCTTTATACGACAACTTCTTTACTTTATCTTGCATTTTTAATATTTCTCAAATTGGATAATAATCATAAACTTGATTGTTTCTACTACATTTTCTTGAGTATTGATAAGATAATACTATATGCAAAATAATGCTATATTTTTTACGTGTATAAAACCTTTCTCATATGATAATGAATAAAAAGAAGGGTCATGCAAATTTCTTGTTTAATTATTTTATTTTATATTCTTTTAAGCTAATCCTTATGAATAACTCTACTTCTTCTATTTTAAGTTTTGAATAAGAAACTTTCAAATTAAGATCTCATTTTTTTTTATAATTATAAACGTGATCTTAAGTTTTAACTGTTGAGAGAATCATAATATTCCATTGATGATATTTTTGTTTAAATATGAACCTTATCCTAATTAACATTAAGATAATTAATACTC